ATATATATAAATACACGGTTTCAAATGTAAAATTAACGAGAAAATGGTCTCCAAATCTTGGTGACTCTCATAGGTGGAGAGTATTCGGAAAGGGAACATTTGCATTTTATTACGTTTAATCAACGATTTTCTGGAAAATCTACACAGAAACGTGTTTATTAAATGGACATATTAAAGGTGTTGAGCAAGAAAAAGAAAAATTAAGAAAAGATCGATAAAAATTGCCAAACTGGTGGAAAAATACCGGTTTCTTAAATTACATTATTTTGACGAGCACGTCATTTCATAATGCGTCACAATATAATTGAAAAAACAATATGTATGATAGGTAGGGCATGTACTTGCCAAATCTAGTGTGAAATATTGAAGCTAAATTTTGAACAATAGCGGATATAGGTCTCTATCTACCAGCTGATCAGAAAAACAGTTCGTTCAAAGAAATGTTAATAACTTTCTTGTTTGGGGTCCAATTGACATCGAACTTGATTTAAAGATAGAACATCCATCTGCATGATATTTTTCAAAAAGTTCATTGCTGTTACACAACGGTAAGGTGATAAAATAGTTTTATAACCCCTGTACATCATGCTTTTGCAGTGAAAATGTATCAGCACACGAAATCTCTTTTATATGAGGGACGTCGAGGAAGTAAGCACCGTTTTAAAATAATTATAAAAGAAATACTTTTCCCAATCAAAACGATTGATTTTTTAATACTTCATATTATATATATATATATAACTTCTCCACGTAGTCACCAGAACTGTTGAGGCATTTCTCGTAGCGTGGGACGTGCTTCTGAATGCCCGCATCTTAGAATTAGAAAGCTGCCGCCTGCGATGTCAGCCAATGTCCAGTCTCTCCTGTGTGATCAGCGTCCGAGTCGAAGTCCTGCCCGGCCAAAAACTTTTTCAAATTCAGGAACTGATGAAAGTCACTCTTAGCCAGGTCTGGGCTTTATGATGGGTGCTTCAACTGTTCCCATCCGAAGGAGGCGATCAGGTTTTGGGTCTGTACAGACTTGTGAGGAGTTGCATTGTCGTGAAGCAAAACAACGCCGTCGCTAAGCATTCTGCGTCTTTTGTTTTGAATCGCTCTTCCACCGTGGGAGCTTGAATAGTTTGTTACAGCCCAAATGCTCCAGCTCAAACAACACACCCTCTCCCGTCCCCCAAATCAACCCTCCTACCCAACGCCAACCTTTCCACACAATCTTCCTTGCCGTTCTATGTTGCAGAGATTAAGCAAAACCCTGAACTGCAGGCACAACAACCAACTTCCTCGTTCTCTTAATCTATCATCCATCTACTTCCAGACTCAGTCAAAGCAGAAACTAATGTTAAATCACGCAGACGTACCGCGGTTTCTTCGGTTTCATTATTTTGACGAGCGCGTAAGTTCACCACGATGCCTGGCACACACATGCACACACAAACACACACACAGGCACACACACACACACACACTCATATCTATCTATCTATCTATCTATCTATCTATCTATCTATCTATCTATCTATCTAT